CAGGCAAGCCCCAAAAGCCAGAGCTGCCAGGGGCAGCCTGGCCCCAGCCCAGCCTCCCTGTACCTCCTTGCAGCCAGCATTGTCAGCAAGCTCATAGTTGCTGGCATGGAGGGGCTGCCCAGCGTTGACAGGGTTCAGGATGACTTTGTCTCCCACGACTACCTGGGGAGCAAAAGGGGAAAGAGGGGAGCGAGGATGAGCCCGGGTGCCCGGTGGGAGGTGAGCCCTGGCAAGCAGCACACGTGGTGCTTTCTGCACAGCTCCATCTGGGGACTTCTCAGCCCCGCGCTCACGTTATCTCCATTGCTCCTCAGCTTCCAGAAGGGCTGGATGAAAAGCCAGGAGCCCTCATTGCCAGTGGCATCCAGTGTCACCCTCATGGCGTTTTTCTCCAGCAGGGCCGGCAGCCGCTTGTTCACCGTCAGGTACTTGTTGCTCTTCATATGGAGGAGCTGCAAAAGCAAAGGCAGGGCTGAGCAGCTGTGGCACTGCAGTTCCCGATGTCCCCAGGTTGGTGGCACCCAGGAGTGATCCTTTGAGCCCCTTCCCAGCAGCTGCTTGATCCAGACAGGCTGGATTTGTGCATCTTCCCCCCAGAAGCCACAGCCCGAGCGCCTGTACCTGTATCACGCTGCCGTACTTCACCACGTCCCCGTGCACCTTCTTGTTCTCTGTCTCATTCTGCTTCTGCTCCATCTGGGCTGCATGCTGAGCACCAAAAGGAGAAGAGCTGAGTGTAGCAGCACCCTCCTCATCCCCTGGAGCAAGCCCCACCAGCACCCTCAGCTATGGGGAGGGTGGGACAGGCTGGGATGCAGCATCAGCATCATCCCCAGGCAACATGGGACAGAGCTGTAATACTGTTCTCAGCAGCTCAGAGCTCAGCCTGGGCCCTGCTGTGGCCTTGAGCAGCTGCAGGGAGTCCATGTGAGCTTTAAACTGAGGATTTCAAGGGACAAAAAGGCATCAAAATTTCCCCCCAAACCCCAGCAGGTCTTAGGAGACAGTACCAAAAAGAGATTGTGCAGGTGCTAGGGCCATGCACCCAGCTCACCCCTGGAGACCAGGGTCTCCTGGCAGCACCAGGACCAAAGAGCACACAGTGCTGTGCTGGCAGAGCCTGGAGCAGCTGCAGGCCCAGACCTGCTGCTGTGGATGCAGCAGGATGTGTCCCCACCAGCCCGGATGCCCCAAGAGCAGATTGCTCAGCACCACTTGCAGCCCCTCTCTCCAAAAACACAGACATTTTCCGTGGAGTGGCTCTGGCAGTTGGAAGAGTGATGTCAATGTATGTGGAGCAAGGCAGGAATTTGCTCCAGCAGTGGATCTGTCTGGGAATGGTGAGGGTGTGCCACAGGCCCTGGCGCCAGCCTGGGCACAGCCTGGCAGTGCCAGCCCAGTGCTCCCCCGCAGCTGGGGAACAGTGAGGAGTGATGGAGCTGGGAGAGCATCCTCCCTTTCCCATCCTTTCAGCCCCTCTCACTTGAGGGCAGAGGAACTGGAAAACACAGGTGGTAGAATCACAGCCCCACACTGGGAAGATGGGGCAGGTGGTCCATGGGTGCCTGAACAGGCAGGGCTTGCCAGGGCTTGGAATGTGCCTGGCAAGCGCTGCTGCAGCACCAACCCTTCGCTCCTTTGGATGTTGCCACCAGTTCAGTAACCCTCGGTCCCCACGCAGCTCTGGGTGCCACCTGGGGGACGTGAGCCCCGTGGTGGTGGCTGCTGCTGGCAGGAAAACAAACCTGCTGCCAAGAAATCCCTGACTGATGCAGAGCTGCGAGCTCAACAACAACCCCATGGAGCAACCCAGCTCCGGGAAGATCCGGCACCACGGCGCGTCCTAGATCTGTGTCCAGATCTGAGCTCCTCCCTCGCAGGGAGCAGGAACCATCTGCCCCAAGCACATGAGCCCACAGGGGCTGCTGTTCCCAGCGTGTCCCTCGGATGGGACAGGGTCTGTCCCCAAGCCATGGTGGGGTGTGAGGGAGGTGCAACAGGGGTGGGCAGCCCAGGAGGGTGCAAGGAGCCATCAGCAGAGCTGGGGGAAGCCTCCGTGGCACGTCTGCACTGTGCTGAGCTGCACCTACAACCCACCAGCCGAGGAAACACCGAGCTTGAAATCCACTTAAAAACAACAGCACAAGGACACAAGCTCAGAAAAGCCACCGTGGGCAGGGCAGGGGGCTGGGCAGGAACACTCCAGACCCAGCTGCTTCTGCTTCAGGAGAGTATCTCCAGGGGCTGGAGGATGTTTTCAGCCTGCGAGAGATGCTGATAAATCACAGCCTGGTGTCCAGCATCCTGCCAGGACAGCCAGGGCCCTGATGGCAGCATGGGCAGGGGTCTGCAGAGCTGCCCCCCTGCCCGGCCTCCCCCGGCACTCGGCTCCGCACACGCGGGAACATTTGCCAAAAGGGCAACACCAGGAGCAGCAGAAAGGAGCAAGGAAATGACAGAATCTCTTGAAGACAAATCTTAACCAAGGCACAATCCATCAGGCTCAGAAATGAGCCTCTCTGTCCAGTCGTGGCCAGGACAGCTGTCGACATTACAAGTTACAGTCTAAGCGGAGCAGGAAATCAGTGTTTCCATGGGCCAGAGCTGGGCTGGACATGGCAGGAGGCACTGACCCTGTCCCAGCATCTCCACACCAAGCTGGGATGCCCTGTCTGGGCACAGCATCAGACCCTGCTTCCCCCAAAGGCAAAACTGGGGGACCTGTGGGGCTAGGCTTGAAGACTGATGAGATGATTTAATGAATCTCTCCTGAGCTTCAGTTTTATGAATCATCCCCGGGGCCTCGCCAGCTGTCTGAGGCAATTATGCAATGTTTAACATGGGCCTTTTCCAAACCTCATGGAAGTCAACAGGAGCCTTTCTCTTCCCCAGCCCTCTGCAGCACATCCTGGCCAATGTGGCTCCTTCCCCCATGCCAGGCACCCCTGGGTGCTGGGGGGTGCAGGGCTGTGCTCACACAGCACTTCTCCCTGCTCTGCCACCAGCTCCTCTGCACAAGGAGCATCAAAAGGGCTGAGACAGCAAAGGCTGGGCATGGCAGTGATGGGGGAGAGGCAGATGGACAATGCCTCTAATCCCAAAAGGAGTGTTGTTGCCCTTCCTTCCTCTCCCTGGTCCTGGATCTGTCTCTGCAGGACTTCCCTAGGACATCTTCCTATAAAAATTATCTGGGTCTCCTTGGTTGCTGCTGTAGTCATGGAATCATAGAGTAACAGGCTGGTTTGGGTTGGAAGGAACCCTGAAGATCATCCAATGCCAATTCCCTGCCTTGGGCAGGGACACCTCCTACTAGACAAGGTTGCTCATAGTCCTGTCCAACCTGGCCTCGAACACCTCCAGACACAGCTTCTTTGGGAAACCAGCTTGCACAACCAGAGCATGGACCAGGGACAGGAGAAAACAGAGCAGAGGGACACCCTGAGGACAGCAAATCTCAGGGCAGGTCCTGGCTTCCGTGCAGGCTGTTTTCTGGGATGCAATATGCATCAGGATTTGGACATTGAGAGGTTTGGCCACCACCACACGACCAACCCATGGGGACTGTCTGCTCTGGGGAGGATGGTCCTTCACTCCTGCTCACCTGGAGCTTCTGCAGCAGCACCACATCCGCGATCTTCTCCTTGTCCTGCTTGGTCTGCTTGGCCTTCCAGTACTGCTTCTGGGCCGAGTAGCGGTTCATGGGACACACTTTGAAGAGGCAATCTGAGGGGAGAGGAAGGCAAGCGTGAGGCTGCAGCAGCCACGTGGCCACCAGCCAGCAGGGCCAACGTCACTGAGGGGCCAGGAGGGAGAGCTCCTCTGGGACTCTGCTCCCACCCACCCCAGCAGGACCACGAGATGTGTCTCCAAACCCACAAGCAACCCCCTTGGCTGCTGGGGCTCCAAGGGAGACGTGGCTGGGACTGGTGGAAGGTCACATCACCCTTGTATTAGCTGGTGGCTTAGTTTCAAATGAGGGTCAAAAATGCATCCAGGAGTGACTCCGCTCCTTGGACTCGCAACAGGAGTGTTCCCATTGGAAACAGCCATGCAATTTGGGAAGGAGAATTCAGGGGGAGAAAAAGCACTGATGAAGCCCAGCTGTACCAAAGGAGGAGAGGATCCTGCTGGGAGGGAAGGAGGGGGAAGGAAGCCAGCAGGATGTGTGCACCACGAGACCAGGACACAATCGGATGTTTTCACGTCTCATTACCCTGCCCACCAGACACCCTGAGCTGCCAGGACCGTGGGTTGCTGCCCCACAGCACCTGTGCCATTGGGATACACCAGTTTGCAAACACCCTGTTCTCCCAGGGAGCCTCCACCACTAGTGCTGGGAGCTACAAGCAACTGCTCCTAGAATCAGCATGTTAACAGCTGCCTTGGAAGTCCTGAAAGAAACACTTTGGAGACGTGAAGGGCACAGGTTTGCATCCCAGCTCCCCCAAACACTTGCAGTGTATCCATGATCTGTAGCTTATCCTTGATCTGCCTGTTTTTCCCCAGGCTGCTGTGCCTGGGATGGGGGTCAGAAAATGCAAACTCCCAGGTCCAGGTTTGGGAACTGAAGCACAAGAGCAGACGTCTGGAGCTGAGGAGGCATTTAGGTCTCCCAAACCCCCATTCAGGGCTGGAAGCTAAGTGGGGTGAGGGCAGGAAGGGCTCCACAGCCCAGAT